CTTGTGGCCATCCCATGATGTGTGTGTCCAGACTAGCCACCAATGTTTCTGACAGGGTCCTAGTGTGTCAGAAAGACCATACTTCTTTCCTTCTTCCACAAAAGGTACTGTAGTTCCTTCTGGGGATCCTGTCAAAACCACCCGCTTCCTTCTGTGCTGGCTTATCAGTGTTGCCCTGCTTTGGGGCTCTTTTCTCAGACTATTGCTTCTGAGTCCTGACTAGACTTGAATACCACCTTTTCCTACTATGCCTCTAGTGGGTGCCTCACCTTGGCTTGTGCTACTTTAAGCGGAGACTGATGTTTCTTCTACTCCATATAAAGCACACACTAGTTTCTAGCCTTGGATAGAAATGCAGCCCAAACCCTGAACCTCCTAAGACTCCAGCTCTTGTCCTTTCAGCTCAGGACTAAAGATGGTGCTGTGAGGTCTCTGGGTACCACAGCTACTGTCAGGCCCTCAAACCCTGGCTGCAGATTATCTCATGCCCCAGAATCGCTTTTAGCGTAGCACTGGATAGCACCATATAGTCACATGGGCCTGTCTACCTACAGGATTTCATGGAGACCTGGGAGTGGGTTTACCCTTGCCCCTTCAGTGTCCAGCTGAGGCCCCTCTCCAGACGTCTATGGGGCTCCCACTTCTGCTATCAGGAGAGAAACACCTGAGAATACGACCAGGGTGGCTCCTCCAAAGACATGAGTGGGTGGGAATGCCTGGCCAATTGCCAGGGGCTCCAACAAGACAGTGGGCCAGGATCCCAAGGTACAGAAACAGAGCACATGTTTATTTTCCAGAGAGGAGGTAGAATGGAGGCTTGGGGATCCCTTCCCAGAGACCTCACTTCCAGAAGAGAACATTCCAGAAAAGCAGCCAACAAGGATACAGACCCAAGGCCAGTATTGGGAAGAGGAGGGCGCCATAGGTGTAGTGTTCCAGCACACCCTGGGCCAATGCTGTCAGGAAGAGCTGCCAACCCTCTGCCAGAGACAGTGGAATCTCCTGCAGCTCCCGCCAGAGGAACAGGCTACCGAAGAGTGTGACTGCTGGGCTGGTCACTACCAGCAGGGCAGCATAGAGTGTCCTGGGAAGAAGGGCAACACTTAAGTATGTACCATGGTGGATGCCAGCAAGTGAATAAATGAGGCTTGGCCCCGGTGAAGGACAAAGGTATTGGTGGAGAAGAGTGGACCAGCACGTACCGGGGTCCATGGGGCTTGGTGAGTGCGGCAGCGGGTACCATGGTGGCAGCCAGCAGGAAGCCCAGGGAGAAATTGAGGAGAGCAATGCAACCCAGCTGCAGTGCCAGGTAGATCAGGGCCACCAGTTTCAGTGCCATCCAGCCCCTGTCTGGGACCTGTGAGCTGACCACTCTACAAGGTAAGAAGTTCAAGGGCAGTCCAAAAGTATCCATCTAAGTATCCAGGGCCCCACCTCCACCTGTCCAACCCAGCTGCTCACCGGTGGGTGTTGTGTGGAAGGGCTAGACCGGCTACATAAATCGCCAGCAGTGTCAACACGACAGCCTCGGCTTCAGCCACTGGAAAATGCTGGGCAGCTACATGTTGGCCCAGCACAGGCAGGAAATAGAGGGCCAAACCCATGGCCTGAGAGATCAGTAGGGGTGCCATAAGTGAGGCCAGGCCCACACCCTGCAGAACACATGGGTACTTGGAGTTAGGCCAGAGGCATAGGGGAACCCCCAAGGACGCATACCACCCGTCCAACTGAGGGGTAGCAGCAGAAAGCACTGCTGGGGATGTTAAAAACCCCATCTTAAGAGCAGTAGAGTATATCATCACCTGTGTGGCCAAGAGCGGAGACCCAGGGCTGGGGGCCTTCCCAGCCTCCTCGGGGTTCACTCCAGCCTCATGCAACTGCATCCACAGCTCCAGAGCATAGAGCAAGTCAAGGACCCCAACAAGACATTGCATGGGATTTGCTAGCTGGGAGATCTTAGGCTCGATTCCCCACCCCTGTGGTAGGATGAGGGACTGTCCCCACTTTATAGTTAAAGGGATCTGGGTGAGTCTGGCCACAAGTGAGAACGAGGGTGGAGGATATCTTGAGTCCAAGGACCAGGAGCAGGAAGCCCGTGGCAGGCATGTAGAGTCCAATGGAGACAAAGCGGGAGAGGGCAGGCAGCAGGTAGAAGAAGAATGACTGGTGTAGGCGCTCTAGGAGGTGGTTGAGCTTGCGGAACATGCCCTCCAAAGCCCTGGCAGGAGCACAGTCAGGTCAGCACTAGCCGTCCTCTCACCCCAGCTAGACACCACCTCGAGCACAGAAAGGGGTCCAGAGACTTACTTGCCCACTGCCACCAAATCATACTTGTATTGGCGGAAGCTATTGATGCCACGTAGGGTAAGGGCCTCCACTCCATAGCGCAGAAAAAGGCCATGGGGGCCGTGGGGCTGGCCAGAGGCCTGCCGCAGCATCATGAGTAGCAGTGTCTGCAGACCCTGCAACGGCCCTTCGAGTGATGTCCAGTCCTGGGGCTGAAGCTTTGGAGGCATGGGGACAAGATCAGACTCACTCCTTCTCACAGGCCCCATGCTCCCAAGCTGGTGGGTCCCATCTTGCCCTGGAGTGTACATAACAGGGCCCCCTTTCTGGTCCCACCTTGCCCTGGAGTGTACATAACAGGCCCCCTTTCTGGCAGAAGGTCTGGAAGAGGTTGAGCAGATCAAGATTGGGCAGCTGACCGTTGAGTCCCTCCACTGTCACATCAAGGCTGGTGACCACATCACTGCTCAGCTCCAGAGCTATAGCGGCCTGGATGGCTCCAGCCCTGCCCTGCAGGGGAGATGACTGTATGCCTGTAAGAACAAGCAGTGAGCACTAGAGGGGGTACAAGTGACACAGTTGACCCCGAAAGAGACAGGAGCAAGACTAGGCTACATCTACCTGTAACATTAATGTCGTGGTAGGCTTCAAGCCAAGCCTCTGTGCCCAGAAGATCATGGTCTGTTACCAGGAATATTATATCTTTGGCCCAGTAAATCTGCCCTGGAAGCCAAAGGCAGGGTCAGTAAGGGCCTGGGGTATTGATCAAACCCTCCCTGACCAGAGTCCCAGAGCCTCACCTCGGAAATGGGCAGCAAGTGCCAACAACAACCCCACAGCCTGGCTATTGGTGGAGTCTGGACCACAGGGTACAGTAAGTACCAGGGACTCGGTACTGGCAGCACGTGGGGCCCGCAGGATGCCATACACATTGGTACCTGACACCATCTGCACAAAGTGTTGATGGGATAGCCTCAGTAGACCCTCCAGAAGACAGCCTGAAGCCTGCCTTCTTTCCTTGGCACTACAATGGCCACCACCAGAGGTCTTTGGACCATCCCTCCCAGAGTTTCTCGGTTCCAGGACACTTCAACAAGACACCCAACCCAGGCCACCCTTCCAATGTGCTTTTCTCCCAGGCACACCCCTTTCCCTCAATACATAGCGCTCATGGGTCTCATCCGGGAAGGGTAGTTTGCGGGAGAAGCTCTGAGTGTAGACCTCCAGCCCTACAGATCGCATGGACCGTTCCAGCCAGGCTACTGGCAGAGCCCTGGAGACACAAAGATAGCCTCTAAGAAGAGCTCCCGGGTCTCCGCCGCCCCTGAAATGCCCAGCCCGCTGCTAGGTACTCACCCCGGCTTCTTGCGGTGGGCAGCGAAGTCCCGGGCAAAGCTCCGAGCGCGGTCTCCACCTACAAACTGTTCCTCCACCATGGTGGAGCCCATGGCGTTCTCGGACATGTAAGTGCGCTGTGTTAGCGGCGGAAAAGCCAGCGCCAAAAACCAGGCGATGCCAGCCACGTAGCTCAGCACACTGCGAGAGAGTATAGAGAGGGCCCGGAATTAGCCCGACCTGGAACGCTCGCTCGTGGTTTCCGCCATGCCCCAGAAGGTCCAGCGGGATGGTCCAAGCCATTAAGAACCGGAGCCGAAGCCGGGCAGTGGCGGCACACGCCGTTAATCCTAGCACTCAGGAGGCAGAGGCAGGCGCAGGTGGATCTCTGAGTTCCAGGCCAGTCTGGTCTACAGAGCGAGTTCCAGGACAACCAGAGCTACACAGAGAAATCCTGCCTCCGGGAGAAAAAAAGCACCCGAGACACTATATCAGGGATGGATAGGGACCACAGCTCCAAGCTCAGTGCCTGAGTGACACTTGCAAGGAGGGCGCAGACCCAGGAGCAATAGGCGCGAGTCCCGCCCCCTGAACCCGCCCTCACCAGAGAGGTGTGTTTAGGCGCAAGACGATGCGGGCGAGCGCGCGCCGGCGCACCGGGTCCGACAGGAGACCCATGGCGGGGCGCGGGGCTCTGCTCTCGCCGCAGCTTGACACCTCCAAGAGCAGGGTTCCTGTCAGACCCGGCGCCCCGTGCCGCCTTAATATCCGGTCCCAGGATCCATCGCGCCAATACGCTTGGTAGCGACAGATATCCTTGGAAACCACATTTTGCGCATGTCCACAACGGAGGTCGCTAGCTCTGCGCGTGCTCAGAACTGCAGTAGGCTGGAGAACTACAGGATGCAGTGGCGGCGAGTGGGCGGAACTGGAACCTGGGACTGTGAAGCTGCGGGCGGGCAGCTGAAGGGCAGGACACTGGCGGAACTCAAGACGGAGCAGTAATAGTGTGCCTGCCTAAAGGTTCTCGGGAGTGTGTAACGCAGGTGGGTAGAGAGCTAGAACGGCGAAAACACGAATGCCTGCTGAAGGGAGATATTGAACGACCGTGTTGTAGCTATGACTTATGGGCCCATGTGAACTGAGGATCCGATGTTGAGTCATTTCTATGGATGTCATGAATTTTAAGACAGTGGGCCCACTGCCACAGTGGGCGAGTTGGTGGCCAGAGAGGGGTGGTGGAGGATGAAGGCAGTTTCTCTAAAAGGGTACAGAGGTAAGGGTCTAAGGATAAATGGCCAAGAGGCAACAGAGGTTTGCTATCCTAGAGCCCAAAGGAAGAGGCTGGAAAGGCCCAAGGAAAGAAGACATTAGTCCAGTGGTTCTTAACAGTCTAACCTTTAATAGAGTTCCTCATGTTGTGGTGACCCCCAACCATGAAATTATTTTGCTGTTATGTCATAATGTAAATATCTTATTTGCATGATCGGATATGAGACCCCCACAGGGGCTGTCACCCACAAGTTGAGAACCACTGCATAAATCTAACCTTACATCTCTTAATGATGGGCACCCAAGCCAGCTGAGTGCTACCTCGGCCTTGTGTTTATGTCCCTGACGGGCTCTGTAAGCATGGCACGTTACTTAGTCGGAAGGCTTGAGCGAGGAACACAGGCGATGGGAGAAATTTGTAAGCTGACTCCATCTTGAGCCTGCTTGTCCCCAGTTTGAACTGTGGTTAATAGAAATACCACCAACAATTCCAGGAAGAAACTGCCCTGGGCCAATCAGGGAAATAGAGGAAAAGTGCCTAAAATTCCAAAGGTTACAGATAAATTGCTCATCACTGACCAAACCCTGTGCGCCAAGATACCCCTTGCCAAATAAGGCAACTGACAGGTTAGAGACTCTGGCTCCCTGCTCAACCCTTGCCAAACAAGGCAATTGCTATCCTAGAGACCCTTGTTCTCTGCTCAATCTAGTATAAAAACCCTGCCTAATTGAGGCTCGGGACTCTCAGCACAAAACTGATGCGTTGGAAGATTCTGAGGGTCCAAGCTTAATCGTGAATAAAGGCTCTTTGTTTTGCATAGATTCAGACTCCTTTTCGGACCCTGGTATCTGGGCAGACACAACATGAGCACTTGCTCTTCCTAGCACAAGTGTTCTTTCCACTTTGGGACTACACTCTGTAGGGCCCTGAGCTGCTTTGAAGTGCTGTACAGTAAGGTATGTTTCAGGAGAGGAAAGGGCCTTTATTCTGGATATGGGTGGTTGCCACTCAGTCCCCCAGTAAGATAGAGGCCTCCTGCACATGCTGCCGGACAACACGATCCAGCAGAGTGTGCACGTCTCGGGCTGCCTGGGCAGCAGCCTCTAGCACCTGCTCCAAGTGGTCTTCATGCAGCCTCGAATCCATCTCAAGTAGTGCAATCTGGCCAGAGGCTGGCAGCAGGGCCAGGGCTAGCTGGGGTCCTCCAGCTGCTTCTTCCACGTGGCTGAGGTCCGCTAGTGCTGTGCCATCCACAAAGCCAGCTGAACATGCACATACAAAGTCCCGCATAGGTATTCCAGCATCCATCACTGCTAGTGTGGCTGCGTTCACACATGCTGCATAGGTCCCACCGTCTGCTTGCAACACCTGCAGGGGGCATCAAGACATCAAACTGGCATCTCATCCTCCAGCATCTCAGACGGCCCTATCTTTAAGCCCCGCCCCAGGGGAGTGGTTTGACGCTGCATGCAGCTCACCTGCACATAGATGTCAATCTGAGAGCGTGGGTGCAGCTGTGTGAGGATAGCTGCCTCGAAGGTCTGACGTAGCTGCAGCCCCATCTCACAAGACTTCCGGTCTCCATGAGGCCTTCGCTTGCGCTCACCTGTGCTGAAGGTTGCTGAACTGTACTGACAGTTTACTAGAGCCCGGTCAGGCAGGGCTCGAGACCGGGAGCCCCGGATCTGGAGGAAAAAGAATGAATGAGCCAGGCCTGCCTACCTCCTGGTTCACACTCGATGGCTCAACCATACTTCTCTTTCTAAAGAGCTTCAGGAAGCAGCTACTTTGTTTCCAAATCATAGGTGTGTGGGGGGCTACTTTTCAGCCTAAGCCACATCATCATCACCTTTGGCAGGCAACTCTTTGTTCTTTGGTTGCAACATTTCCTCCCAAATAATTATTCCCATTGTGGCCACCATGTTTACAAACATCTGATTTGACTGTGTCACTTACAAACTAATATTTTACTTACCTTCCAGAAACTTCCCATTACATGTAAAAGAAAATCTCAATTTCCCTGACCTTCAAAGCCCTGGGTCCTCACCTACTTGGTAACCCTCCAACTTTATTTGATCTACTGTCCCTGTACCTACCAATAGTCTGCCCTCAGTGTTCTATACCTGACCATCATCCTGGCTTCCACCTAGAAAGCTGACCTCCATATCCTAGCAAACCTTAAAATGTCCATGTTTTGCTGGCCTCGCTACAGCACTGAGACACAGCAATAAAGGCAGACAGTTTAATCTAAGATCCCTGTCTTGGGAGGGTGTATGTTTCAGTAGGGAAACAAGCGACTTGGAAGACCCAGGAAAATGGATGTACTAGGTGCAGAAATAGCCTGGGAGGTCCTTTTCCCCGACAAGATGTCAGAATACTGAACTAAAAGACCAGGGAGTGAGTGGAGCTTCGCCAGGCTAGCTGAGGCACATCAGAGATGAAGCGGGCAGTCCAGGAGAAAAGATAAGCATAGATCCCACTGAGAAGGAGTTAAGCCGTAGGTCTACTTCCTCGACATGCGGCCTCGAGCCCCCAGTCCCTGCATGAGACAAACCATAGTGGCTGTCGACAGTCTGAAGCAGCCCCATATCCCACACTTGGGATGAAAACAAATCATGATCACATAACTGGGTTCTTAAGCCAAAATTCTCAGTACATCATGGGACCTAATACTTAAATTTGAGGGCCATGTTAGGGATGCAATTTCAGGGTATAATTATATTCATGTCTTAGAGGATGTAATACAAAGGAAGGATGGAAATGGAAGTCAGCCAAGGGGAAAGAGCTCATGAGGTGAAGTCAGAAGAAGGCAGGTCCTCGCAGATGCTCACACACCATTCCCTCTACAACACGTTGGGACAACGTGTGTTGAGATGCTTTATGCCAGGGAGGCCCACAGAGACTCAGAGATGGGTATACTGCTGCATAGGCGGAGGAGTTAAGCCCTAAGACTTGGGTCTACTCCCTAGACGTGCGGCCACGAGCCCCCGGTCCCTTCCGCTTACTCGCCTCGTGAGGCCCGTAGACCACCGCCAGTGCCTTGGTGTTGCCCTGCTCGATATAAGCCGAGCCATCGGCCTGCGCAAACACGCCCATCCGCGCCTGGATCTTGCGCAGCTCCCCCGCGCGGCGGCCGTCTATCCGGTAACCCTGATCGGACAGAAGCTCCAGCCCAGCCATGTTGTGTAGTCTTCGCTCCGCCTCCGAGAGCACGACCCCTTAGATGACCTGGGCCTCCAGTACTACGACTTCCGACTTCCGTCGGTCCCTTTCCTTTTCAGTCTCGGTGAACTACAGCTTCCGGTAAACTAGTCCGTTTCCGGTCTAAGGGAACTACGGCTCCTAGTATCCCCGGCTTTCTGAATGTACGACTTACGCTGTTCAGTTCCGGGAAACTGAAAGCCCGAGCTGAACCGGTTTCTGCAGCCCCTCCGGGGTTGTTGAAGTAGGTACGCTTTGAAAACGGACTTCTCTTTCCGGACATCCTGGGTTTGTTGGTCCCAGCGTGGACTCTTTTTTTTTTTTTTTTTTTTTTGGTCTTTAAAAAAAAATTGTATATCTATTTTTATTGTACGAATGTTTACCTGCTTGTATGTCTATTCGTCACGTGTGTGCTTAGTTCTGCAGAGGTTAGAAGACGGTGTAAGAGCTCCCGGAACAGAAATTACAGGCAGCTGTGAGCTACTGTGTGAGTGCTGGGAATCGAACCTGGTCCTCTGCATTTTTTTTTTTTTTTTTTGGTCTTTTGCCCGTGTAGGTTTTACAGTTGTCAGTTTAGCTAAGCACGACTTTTTGTTACACGTACACGTGATTATCTTTGTGACTCAGTTTTAGTTTAGTTTAGGGTTTCTTTCTTCCTTCCTTCCTTCCTTCCTTCCTTTCTTTCTTTCTTTCTTTCTTTTTTTTTCATTTGCTTGGTTAAATCCATAAACTTGGCCAGTAAGTTTTCCCTATTGTCTGAATGGAAGCACAAAACGCCTGCAGTTGTATATATGCACCAGTATAGTAGGTTTTGGAGTTTTGATTATTTTTAAAGATTGATTCATTTAGTATACAGGTTTTTAGAGTATTTTCACCCAGAAATTATGAAATCTATACTCTTGAGATTTTGTTGTTGTTACAGATAGAAGATGATTCAGATTCATAGAAAGGACACTGAGATGAAATTATTCTTCAGATGAGCTTTGTTTTGTTTTGTTTTGTTGTTTGTTTTTCGAGACAGGGTTTCTCTGTGTAGTCCTGGCTGTCTTGGAACTCACTTTGTAGACCAGGCTGGCCTCAAACTCAGAAATCCGCCTGCCTCTGCCTCCCAAGTGCTGGGATTAAAGGCGTGCGCCACCACTGCCCGGCTAGATGAGCTTTATTAGGAGAGTTACAGTATCTTTGTCTCAGACAGCAATGATAAGGCCCTTATGGGGGAGAATATTCAGAAGAGTTTGCTCTGGAGAGATGAGCATAACATAGAACAAGACAGATGTCCTGAAGGGAAGGAACATTCAGTTCTGAAGGACTAGGAGAGTTAGAACATCACACTTGCCAGCTGTAGCAGCTCAAGCCTTTAATTCTAGTACTTGAAAGTCAGAAGCAGGCAGATCTCTGAGTTCAAGGCCAGTCTGTTTTAGAGAGAGTTCCAGGGCTACACAGAGAAACACTGTCTCAAAAAAACAAAAACACATGCCTTTAATCCCAGCATTTGGGAGGCAGAGGCAGGCGGATTTCTGAGTTAGAGGCCAACCTGGTCTACAGAGTGAGTTCCAGGACAGCCAGGGCTACACAGAGAAACCCTGTCTCAAAAAAACCTAAAAAACAAACAAACAAACAAACAAAAAAACAAAAACCCACCAGAACTCAAATGTGGAGAGAACTCCTCCTCTTCCTCCTTGTCCTCCTTACAGAAGTTGTGGTCTAATGACCTCTATGCCTCCACTGTGCCAGGCACATCCCCATCTCCCCAGATAAATAAAATGTGAAAATAAAGTCTAGCAGTAACTCAAAGCTGTCTTATGTCTGGGAAGGGGAGGGAAAGAACTCTGAGTGTTACCGGGTCATAGCAGCATTTTATCAACTCGATCCCTAAAGAGACTGTTTAGTGATTCTGTTCCTAAGGACTCTAGTTTCTGAGAACTAGAGCAGGCAGAGGGACTGTCACCTACCAGTCTCATTACTCTTGCATTTCTAGTTCGGTATATTACAGCCTCTCATGTCAGTCCAGTACAATAGAAAGGAAAAGAGAGACACCCCCATCCCCGCCTCAGCACCTCTCCTTGTTTCTGTTTCATAGTGATCATTGTCATTAGCAAAGAGCTCAACATTTTCACATGCCGCCCCTCCCCCACCATCCAGCCCATTTAGTACATAAGAAAATGTATGTCACTATCCAAACTTGAAAATTAAAGCAGCATCCTCTTCCGGCTTGGGCTTCGGTTCCAGCGACATGGCTAAACGCACCAAGAAGGTTGGGATCGTCGGGAAATATGGGACCCGCTATGGGGCCTCCCTCCGGAAAATGGTGAAGAAAATTGAAATCAGCCAGCACACCAAGTACACTTGCTCCTTCTGTGGCAAGACGAAGATGAAGAGACAAGCCGTTGGCATCTGGCACTGTGGCTCCTGCATGAAAACAGTGGCCGGTGGGGCCTGGACCTACAACACCACCTCTGCAGTCACAGTGAAGTCTGCCATCAGAAGACTGAAGGAACTGAAAGACCAGGAGAAGCCCTACCGCCTGAGACTCGCCTGCCCTGCAATAAACAGGTTAATTTACAGAAAGAAAGAAAAAGAAAATTAAAGCAGCGAGCTCAGTGTATAGAATACTGAGAAGAGAGGATGGATGGGTCCCAAGAATGGACATCCCAAGACACACATAACCAGTGCGGGGGACATAGACCTCCCGCAACTCCATAAGAGGACTGTCAACAGTTAACCTTAAGAAAAGCAGGTAGGTTGACGTACTGTGTTGGACTGGAGAAAGACCTGAATCCTAGCACTCACAACATTGCCTCTCACAGAGGTTGTACTGTTAGGACTGGCAGTACTGTACTGTCATAGACTGCTGGACGGAGCTGCTTCAGTGTGCGGCAGGTCTTACCAGGGTACCCTAAGCCCCTGCCATCCCTGTGAGGTTGGGGTTGTTTATCTTGTGCATTGCTGGGTATACAAAATTGCCTCTGGATATACAAAGACCCTCTACCCCATTGTGTGGCGACAGCCTCATCCACTTAGAATAGCCAGAAGAAAGCTAGTCTTCAGCCTGAGGAGTCTGAAGGAAGTTGGTGGCCACTGCAGCTTCCAGTCCATAGTGCCCTCATCAGGCCTCCTAGTACAAGTGTCCTTCCACCTCTTAGGAACAAGGACCTCAACCTGGCAGCATCAGGTTCAAGGTCTGAAGCCACTGCCCCTCGCACTCCTCGGGCCCATATTCTAATTGAAAACCAGTATAGATCTCGGATTCAGGGACCTTATCAGTTTTTCCTTTGTTTTTTGTTTTGTTGCTATCATCAATTGCCTGACAAAAAGATTTCAGGAGGAAGGCTTTGCTTTGACTCTGTTTGAGAGGATAATATCCACCATGGCCGGAAGGAGCGGTGGAGTTCACGGTGGCTGGGACTTTCCATGATTTGGTGGTCAAGAGTCAGAAAGAAAACTGCCTGTGCTCATCTGGCTTCCTCCTTTCCCCTTCTCGGTGTGGGGCCCCAGCCCATGAGTCAGTGCGCCGGTCTCAGGGTGAGTCTTCGCTCTTCACTAGTCCCCTCTGGACATGCTCATCAGAAACGCTCCTGAGAGTGTGCATCACTCATGACTTAGATTCTATTTTTTTTAAAGTTTAAAAAAACCTGTTCTCTCTCTCTTTTCCCTCTCTCTGTCTCCCTCCCTCTCTCTCTGTCTCCCCCTCCCCCTTGTGCGTGTGCGTGTGTGTGAGTGTGTGTGTGTGTGTGTGATGTGATGCATACCCTGGTGTCTGGGAGTGCCCACAAAGGCCAGAAGAGGGTATTGGATCCCTTGGAGCTGGGGCTACAGTCAGTCATGGGCGCCAGGAACTCAACTCAGATTCTTTGCGTGAGCAGCTGTAGTCTCTTTAGCCCCCAATCTAGGTGTTTGTTAGTTAGTTAGTTTGTTTGTTTCTCTCTTTCTTTATTTCAAGACAGGGTTTCTCCATGTAATACTGCCTGTCCTGGAACTTGCTCTGAAGTCTAGGCTGGCCTTGAATTCACAGACCTATCATCCAAGAGCCAGGACTAAAGTTATGTGCCACCACTGCCCAGCTTCTAGATAGATCTTTCTTTTCTTTTCTTTCTTTCTTTCCTTCCTTCTTTCTTTCTTTCTTTCTTTCTTTCTTTCTTTCTTTCTTTTTTTTGTTTTGTTTCTGTTTTTTGTTTTTTTGAGACAGGGTTTCTCCGTGTAGCCCTGGCTGTCCTGGAACTCACCTGTAGACCAGGCTGGCCTCGAACTCAGAAATCTGCCTGCCTCTGCCTCCCAAGTGCTGGAACTAAAGGTGTGCGCCACCACTGCCTGGCTCTAGATTTTTCTTAATCCAACCAAGTTGACTATCAAAATTAAGCATCATTCTGTAGGCATATATTTTAGCTGCTTTACTGAATTCTTATACCTACCACCTTTCCCACCCTTTTTCTACCCTAATCCCTTCCACCACCACCCCCAACACTAGATAAGAGAGAAAAAAATGTTAGAGGAGAAAGGGGGTGTAGATCTCTTTAGACTACTGCTTGCTAATCAGTGGCATCGAGTTCCTAGGGCATCCAGTAACCAAGCAATAGCAAAACCAGCAAGTGCAGCAGCAGGAACCAGCAGCAGCGGGGCGAGCAGCAAGCAGCTGCTGCTGGCCCCCTTCAGGGTTCTCACATTTATACCCTCTCAAGAGTCCCCAGAATTCCAAACATAAACTATCTGCAGCTGGCAAAAATTACACCCACCCCTCCTAGAGCATGAGACAAATCATAGTGGCTGTGGACAGTCTGAAGCAGCCCCATATCCCACACTTGGGATGAAAACAAACACGATCACATAAAGTAACTGGTTTCTTGTTTGTTTTCATTTTTTGTTTTTTCGAGACAGGGTTTCTCTGTATAGCCCTGGCTGTCCTGGAACTCACTCAGTGGACCAGGCTGGCCTGGGGCTCAGAAATCCTCCTGCCTCTGCCTCCCAAGTGCTGGGATTAAAGGCGTGCACCACCACTGCCTGGCTATAACTGGTT